GACCTGATGCTGTGCTAAGAATATGCAGACTTCATGAAGACCTGATTAGTCATCTACAGAGAAGCTGCCAAGGATGAGCTCTATCTGTAAATCCATAGCTGGAATGTGGGACATGGCCAGCTATTCCTGTGTGAGATACAGAGAAGGAAGTCAGTGTGAATCCAGAAACAACCTCACCTTCAGGAATGGGCTACAGCGGGTGCTTATGATCAAGTGGGCACATGAACCTGTCTCTGAAATCTGTTTCATAGTTGCCCCAAGAAAACATCTCTATTTGTATTATTATGTTCCAAAGCCCTGAGATCTATGAAGTCAAGTATCGGGCTTCCTTAGAAGTTAAAATAATCTGTGTGTGAACTATTTGCCTCCAGAGATCGTCACTTCAGTCAAAACCAGTTTTCATTTAAGAGAAAGCATAGGAATCGATGACCAGAAAAGAAGGTGTTAACTGCAGGTCTGAAGGGAGGGATCTTACTTAGGTTGTAAACAAACCCTAGAAAAGCAGCTGCCTTGGAGTAGTGCTGTAATTACAAGAAGTCTTGTAATTCTGTTCCTATCTCTCTCATAGCTGTGAATATAACATTTGTAATGGGGGAAATGCTACTGTCCTACAGCAATGTCCCAAGAAACAATCTTCAGCTTTATGAAGGTTCTTAACAGCTGTTAACAACTTTCAAACAGTGAAGATGTGTGTGTACTGACTGGAAGACAACGGACGAATAATAATCCGGCCATACTCTAACCCCATACTGAAGAGAAGGGCACACAATGGCAATAGAGTTGTCTTGCTGAATAAAACAGGTCTTTTAAACATGATTAAAGAAAACACAGCATGATCAAAAGTGCAAAAATTATTCAGATTATGACCCTGAAATGCGGAATTTGTTTCCACCCATTTTGTGAAGAAAGTCATGGATTTAGAGTCCTGTAGTTTTCTGTAGCGTTGAAGCTCCTCATATACTGATGAATGAACTAAAAGAAGACATTTCTGTGCACAGAAACACAAAAATAATTCTCATTAAAAAAAAAATCACCATGTCAGAATGATGGGCGTAACAAATGTACAAAAAGTGCTTGACACAATGGATGTATATATGGATTACAATAAGAGTCGTAAGCAGTTGAGTCCTACAAAGTGGCAATCTGTTCACATATATAGTCTAAAAACCATAAGGAAAAGTTTGAGGCCCCATGGCATCACTAACAGAATGCACTGGAGTGCACCTGAGAATAATAAACCGGCGAATAAAACAAGCCTCTCTCAAGAACACTTGGATAAAAGGTTAGAACATTTAAGTACTACCATGCAGTGGGGCAGAGAAAATGCCACCTATTTTAAATAAGATGATATCTTACTACATATAAGAATTATATATCTGGATGTTGCCTTGTACTAGGAACAATTATAACACAATTTTTCAAAATTAGGAGCTAACATTGGGTCATGGTTCTACACAGTAAAATCAAACACATTGAAAAAGAAAGTTAACAAAGGAAATAAATAAAAAGTATTAAAAATTTTTACATGCTTAGAATTTGGTTGCAGAAAACATTCCTCATGTTGTGGTGACCCCCCAACCACAAAATTATTTCCGTTTCTACTTCATAATTGTAATTTTGATTGTTATAAATCGTAATGTAATTACCTGATATGCAACATATATTTTCCTTGCTACAAATTAACCATAATTAAAGCATAGTTATTAATCACAAAGCGATATGTAGTTATATATTGTGAAATATTTATTTCTAATTACAAATAAATGAAATTTTGTCTTGAATCATGGTGTAGCATGGGTAACAGTCTTCACCTCTGGGTACTCGTATGTGGGCATATCTGCATGTGGGTGGTGGACCTGGCTGGAGACAGATAGAGGAGTAGTGTGTCGGTTCCTAAGACCATCAGAAATATGTCTTTATCCACGGTCTCAGGTGACCTCTGTGAAAGGGCTGCTTGATCCCCAGAGGGCTGAAATCCACAGGGCACACAGGCCTGCAAGCTTCTAAGAAAGACCGCCCCTCCCCCGGCTGCCTGCAGAGAGGTGGAGGTAATCCTCACTCCAAAGCCCTCTGCCTCAGGGGCAGAGAATCTACAATGTTGCTTCCTGGCAGAGAGCATTCAATGGAGGTTTACTCTATGTGGGCCTCTGCAAACTAAGTGAGGACTTACGTCTATGCGGGGGTTTGGGGCGGTCACTGCTATTGTGCCCTTTTGCAAAGCAAGGAGCTGAGAAGTTAAGCTCTAATACAGAGCTCGGTCATCAGTGGAGTGGCCTGATGACTGCAAGGCCGGCCTCTCCTTTCAGTAAAGGCCACTCTGGGGTCCCCTGCTCTCATTCCCGATAACTGACAAGGAGGGAACGCGCCCCAGGCAAGAACCCACCCTCAACCGGGCATTTCTGGCGTGAGGGGTGAGGGTGAATGAGGGTCTCTGAGCAGGAAAAGGGGACTGGAGGATTCCCAGGGCAGACGGCAGAGAGGCTTGTAACCAGCTCAGAAAGGACTTAACTGGAAACATCCCAGGGGGTCGCGGCGACCTGGAAAGCGGGCAGACAGGGTGCGGGAACTGTAATATCCGTGGGGATCGGGGTACAACTGGGGATGCCGGGCCTGTCGGGGACCTAGAGCCTAGGATCAGCATAGAAACAGAGACTCACTTACCCTCGTGCATCGCTCAGGTTGCATCTTCACAGTTAGAGGAAATGGGTTCGGCAAGAAATTGCATCACCTGGGTAGGGGTGGGGCCTTTCCGAAGGAGCGGGGCCTGGAGGTAATGAGGGACTCCTGGAGGGAGGGGCCTGGAAGAGAGGCTCAGGGCCTGGAGTGGCAACTGATC